TCCAGAAACCATTGCTACCACGCCCTGCTCCCTCTGAGATGTCAACAAGCTCAAGAGACAATATCCAGCCGCTGGGCATCAGAAATAACGACATGAAACCGTAATGATGCAGTGCATCGTTAAAATAATTACATAGTAAATGTAGGGGAGATGGTGCTGAAGTAGTATTGGCGACAGCGTGGGTTCAGTGGGGGCGGGGCCACTTGGAAGACAGTCAAGAACCTTGACCTACGCTGCTGACCTGAAAACCCCATTCCTGGAAATTCCAAGGAAATCCTTTAAAAGCAAGAAGAAGGCAAAGCTCTGAACACAGGGAAGTATTCATAGCTGATGTTTAGCACAGCATAATTTGGAAATACCCTTCATGGGAAGAACAATGAAGATTCTTTGATAGCCAGTCAATGAATAAAGTGGAATGGTAAATGGAATCCCTGTTGTCAATTATCTGAACAAAAAAAAAAAACCATCAAGTCTACAGTGTGCCACAGGTAAATACCAGATGGGGATATGAAGCTTGGAGAGGAAAGATCTGCCAGTGAGTTAAGATTGTGAAATGCCTTTTTTTTTTTTGCTTTGGAGACAGGGCCTTTATTGCAAGGCTTTGCAGAATTACACATCTGGAGCTCGTGTTGACTGCCGAGGAGCTTTGAACTTTTTATCCCAGTTTGGTCAGATTTTTTTTTTTTTTGTCTTTGAAAATTGAAGTGCAAATGGAAAATTCAAACATTGCAAAAGTGTTGCAAAAAACACGTGCTGCCCTGAAAGAAATCGCGGGTGTGTGTATCTATCTCCTGTGGTCTCCAGAGCACATTTGTAACTCAGATATTTGAAGCCTTGTTCATGTGTAATGGATTCACTGAGGGGCAGCTAGCTCACCTCCAAATAGTCTTTCTGCTCACCGGCCTCTTCTTGCATCGTTGCATTGAGAACTCTTCCATCGCTGGCTTTTGTGATCTTGTCAGCAACTCTACCCAAATGTCACGGAGATGACATAAAGCAGGTGGGTTGAGGGGGCGCTAAAGCTGGCGAAGGGCACCAACATTTTAGAACCTGGGCCACAAGAGGGGTGAGGAAGATGAACGGTATGTTCCTGAGGGTTTCAGCACATGGGTGGGGTTGGCAAGATTCATCCCGCCTGAGGGTTTGCAAGATTCTGGGGGTCCCTGCAGAGTTTGGAAGGCTGGGTGAAGTATAATTAGAAGCTGCTCGTACCTCCATCTAGTGTTGTTCTTGGCCGAGAGGAGAGACTGGGCTGCTTGCTCCTTGCAGATTCAGCTCTGAGTGGCGAGCCCTGCGTTCACTCCTACTGCAGCTAAACTAGAGTGAATGACGGCATGTAAGGTGGCTAAAGCCTTGGTCTGCGTAACAGTTTCTATTTCTTTAAAGTTTAGTTTCATCTACTTGAAGTGCAGAGTAATACACAGAGAGAAGAAGAGAGAGCGAGATCTCTATCTACTGAACTGGTTTGCCTTCCCAAGTGCCCACAGGAATCTGCTATTTGAGTAGCCGGGGCACAGGTGTTTAAACCAGCTGCAACCCCATTACAGGGCAGTTGAGAGAATTAACTTTTAAAAAATTGTAAAATGATTCAAGAATACTGAATGACCAGTAATGCTAACACTTTCCTCAGTTCTAGTATAACTGGGTTGCAGAAGCACTCTCCATGTGAAAAGGAGATGCCTCAGTGGAGATTTTATGTCCGTGTGTCCATTTCAAAAATTTGTGAATGTAAAAAAAAAAAATCAGCTTTCCACTTGAGGATGCACAAGAAGCTTTTGAAAATTTCGTGGAAATGCATTTCAGGAAAAAACTATACATGGAGTTAAAATATGTTTTAGATCAAAATCAACTTTGAATTACACTTTTCATAAGCTTTTTGAGTACCTCTGCTTTGCGTTTTGGTGAGAGGGCAGACAAGAACCTATAAGCAAGACCCAAGAGCAAGAAAAGCTGAGAGGTCCATCCCGTATGCTGCTTTTATGAAGTAGGGGATGGATCCTAGTGAATCTTCCAGTGGGATATGTATGTAACTGGGCTCCCATCACTCATGTGGGAGACCAGGTTGGAGTTCCTGATTGCTGGCTTTGGCCTTGGCCCAGCCCTAATAATCATTGTATCCATCTGGGGCTGGACCAGCAGATGGAGATTCTCTTGCTCTGCCTTTCAAATAAATCAATCTTCTATAAAAATTGTATATGCTGAAGTCATAGATGTGAGGGTATTTTAGTAAGTTTTTGAAAATGGAAGATATATTTATTTTGGTACCAAAAAAAAAAATGAAAATCCATGAATGTGAGGGGTTTTCAAAAATTTCATGAAATATTCATACCATGAAAACACTGCATGGATTGCATTTATTTTAGCAGTGAAGTGAAGCTGCCTTATCGTTGCAGTTTCTAGACTTTTTTTGAAGTATCCTCCTTATTCTAGTACTAAACTGTAAGTGTCAGGAGAAGTTGGATGAAAGATATTGATGCTGAACTAATAAGAGAAGGGATTCGGGACTTTTCCTGCTGGAGAAAGCAGGAATGTTAAGTTGTAGGGCACCTCCTCAGAGAATATTTTTGGAGTTAGGCAGAGAAATAGAGTCCTGTGTCACCTTGTCTTCGGTTTTGAGCTGCAGCTGGCATCTTTGGGCCCTGCTGCTTTTGCCCAGGGCTATGCCCTGATGCCCAGGTTAGAGGAGAGAGAACAGACCACCCTGGGCATCAGAGGCCCTCAGCAACTCCATTCTCATGGAAGGGGGCCTTCATTCCAGCCTTTTTCTGTCTTGATCACATCAATGTTTCACCTCTGAGTTCTTGAGGGAACAGACTTAATTTAGGCCGATTACTGGGTTTTCTTTTATTCTTGCAAGCTGCCATGTGGTGTCGAAAAAGAGATTCAGGTAAAGTCCCAAGTTGTATGTGTGTGTGTGTGTGTTTGTGTGTAATGAAAGGAAGGCTTTCAGACGGTAAATAACAAATCAAGTTTCTATGTATTTACTATTGGCAAAGGAAATTTCCAGAACGATGTCTTAGTTCATTTAAATTTCCTTCCTTTGAGAACGCAGTTTGAGCATTTCCAGAATTACTGGAAGAACCTCATTTTGTAGATAAGACAGCCATCTCAGCAGAAAGCAGAGCGGGCCCCGCAGCCAGTTCTGTTTCTTTGTAGAACTTCCCTGCCATCTCCTTGTCAGGGGAGAAGGTTGCCATGAGTCAACATCTCCATCTGTAGGGTGTGTCTGTGCATTTGTGACAATGAGCCCGGTCAATGATCACCTCAACCAGAGTTCACCAGGTTGAGAAAGAGGGTGTCTTAAGACGTGGGGAAGGAAGTCTTCAGGGCTGTGGAATCTGACGAACAAACAGCTATTATCACTTACTCATCTTCCTCTTTCCAGCTCTGCTTTGGTTGCATACCACACTCTCCTCTTCCTCTGCAGTCTCCCTGGCTGCAGGCTTGTACTTGCTAGGCAATCATAAAAGCTTGAACAGGGTGTTCCTTCTGTTGCCTGATGCTGATGTAGTTTGACAACAGAGTAGTCCCCTCTCCTTCCAACCTTGGGACCCTGTCCCACGTGGGAGACCTGGAAGAAGCTCCTGGCTCCTAGCCTGGGATCAGTGCAGCTCCAGCTGTTGTGGCCACTTGGGGAGTCAATCAGCTGACAGAAGACCTTCCTCTCTGTCTTTCCTCCCCTATGTATATCTGACTTTGCAATAAAAATAAAACATATCTTTTTTTAAAAAAGAAAATAACCATTTAAAATAAGAAATTTTAAGAAAAAAGAAATTAATCGGAGGCAGGACTCCATCCTAGACATACCATACTTTGTTGAGTAGTGCGTGGCCCCGGGGCTTGGGGGTAAAGCAGGGAGACATGGTTTTGGGCTTCCTCCCCGTTCTTTATATCAGGCTTCTGTTGCATAAAATCCACCTCCTGGAGGGGACACAGAAGGTTCCCTGTGACCTCTAGTTCTGAGTGGAGCTCAAGAGAACTCTAGAGTAAATTTTAGACCACAGCCTTGTGAGGCTTTGTTTTAGCACCCTGTGCTACGTTCCCGGGGATCCCATGAGGTTTTCCAGACCAGTCTAGAAGGCCAGCCATCATCAAGGCCTCAGTGGTTGATTTCAGTGTGAAACCTCAGAGGAGCTAAGGCAGGCTTGGGGGCCCACGCTCCCAGCAGGAATCAGAAAGCAAATACGGTTGGACAGGACTACAAGCTGAATGCAGGGCCTCTGCTTGAGATCCTGTCTGCTTCCTGCTCCTTCCCTGGCCTGCTTTCGATGGTGTTTGCTTTCCCTTGCCTGAATGGCAATGCTCTGAGACATTCGCATGGCTCTGCAATCCATCACAGTAGGTGGCATTTGGCTCCATTCACTTGCAGCCGCGGGACCCTGGAACAGTCGTCCTTGGAGAGTTGCTGATATTGATCCAGCAGTATTCACTGTGACTGGAGGTTGAGATTCTTGCTACTGATGGACTATAGGGGTGTGCACGTGTCTGTGCTTGTGTGTGTATTCAAAAACGTTCTTGGAAAAGAGAATCAAAATTATTTGAATTATTTGCAAGAGTACATTCACTTGAGAGATCTTCCAAACATTCATGAGAGATGCATGTTGTAAAAAAACTATGCAAGTATTTCAGTTTTTCTCTTTGTTCCAAATAAACATCGGTTTGTTCCAATTTTTTCTCCCACAAACTTTTTGGAGTAGCTCTGTATTTTGTTAAGTTATTTCCAGAATTTATTTTTTTTATTAAGATTTTATTTTTATTGGAAAGTCAAATATATAGAGATGAGGAGAGACAGAGAGGAAGATCTTCCATCCAATGATTCACTCCCCAAGTGGTCGCAATGGCCAGAGCTGCACTAATCCAAAGCCAGGAGCCAGGAATTTTCTTCCAGGTCTCCCATGCAGGTTCAGGGTCCCAAGGCTTTGGACTGCTTTCCCAGGCCACAAGCAGGGAGCTGGATGAGAAGCGGAGTGGCGGGGATTAGAACCAGCACCTATAGGGGATCCTGGTGTATGTAAGGCAAGGACTTTAGTGCTGGGCTACCATGTCGGGTCCAAAACATTCCTTGAAGTTTTACTGACTTTTGATTGAGTAATGACATTTACATCACAAGGCTCTGGTCCTGTTTAGAGCTAAGCTGTGGAATACATCCTTGTTGCTTTTTTCATCACTGCATGACTGATTTCTTTGGAATCCATAATTACTGCCCCAAGTCCCTTCATTTGCTTTATTTTCAAGGTGGTTGTTAGAAATTCAATACTACAGTCTGCCAGCTGTTTAAATCTATTTTCGGTACATTTATTCCAATCTATTATCCCATTAGTTTTATCTTCTTAAAGACATCACTTTCAGGGTCTTAGGAGGTGTGGTATGTACTGTGGTAGTCTGGGAGCCATTACATTATGTCATGTCCCTCTGTTACAATCCTGGTGGATTTCCTTTCATTTTAAAGTATGTTAAATCCCCCTTCCAATTCTTTCCCTTTCTTGTTAATACTTTATTTTTGATGCTATTGATTGACCAGTGGCTTTCAGAGAAAAAAGTGCATCAAGGTAAGTACCTAAGACCTTGCCTGTTTTCCAGTGTTTTTATTTTGCCATGATGTTGATTAGCAGTTCATCTGACTGTTTCTCATCTGGATTATAGTTTTCTCCAGGGCTCGGAAGGCCTGGGTCGTGTCTGTTGGTTTCTGTGCAGGAAGCTGCTGTGTTCTCATTCCATTCTTTGTAGTTTATTTACTCTCCCGTGCGCAAGCAGAAGCGAAGCTCCTTTCCTTGTGTTTCAGCCTTTCAAAATTAACAAGTGAAACTTGGTGTGGCTTTGTTTTCTTTATAGAAATATGATATGGAATGGGAATGTACCACTGGGACCCTAGCTACTGTACCCAATACCTGCCCCAAAAAGAAAATATTGAATGAGAGAAATCAACTAGGTGTGATTTTGAGGAATAAAGCAGATACATAAGATTTGCTTGCTAGCATTCTGAGTGTGTGTGTACAAGTACAATATTCTTCACACATTTCTTTTCCCATTCCACAGATTTTTTAAAAGGCCTCCTGGGATGCGTTACCATTGCTGGATGCCTGGTACATTGCTCATGCCCGACAGGAGGATAGGTGCTCTGAGTGGACACAGGATATTGCCTGGAGTCAGAGCACTGGATGATCCAGACCTGCCTTTATTCTAAATGGTAAACAGTCTAATCTTATCTGCGTTATTGATATTAACAAATGTATTTCCTAATGAAATATTTAAAAGTTTCTTTATTAGTTCTGGTATTAAAAAACAGCTTCACATCTATGAATCTGGTGGGGGGGGTGCCTGTCTCATACAGCAGGTTATTCTCATTAAATTAACAACATCAGAGCTCCTTAGGGGAGTGCCAGCTGAGTCTCATCTATGGCACTGATCTAGCTTCTGGCTGTGCATTTGGAACAGCAGTACAAGATGGCCCATGTTCTTGGGAGACCAGGATGGAGTTTCTGGCTCCTGGTTTCAGCCTGACCAGTAAGCTGGCTGTTGCAGCCACTTGGGAAATGAACCAATGCATGGCAGGTCTAGGTTTCTTTCTGTTGCCTCAATGTATAAAGATTGGGGTGGGAAGGGGCCACAGCGGGTTAAGTATTTGTTTGCAATACCAGCATCCTGTATTATAGTGCCAGGTGCAAGTCCCAGTTGCTCTACTTCTCATCCAGCTTGGGAAGGTACATGGAGGCCTGAATGCAGTTTCTGGCTGCTGGCTTCAGCCTGGCCTGAGTCTGGTTCTCATGGCTTCTCTGTTTCCCTCCGTTCCGGCATCTCTCCTTCTCTTTCTCGTCACTTTGCCTTTCAATTGAAAAAAACATTTTTCCAAAAATTGTATGACATGAAGGAAAAGAACAGATATATTAGGTAGGTTTTGCTAAATTTCTTCTTTGATATATATATATATATATATATAAATATATATATAAAAGGGTATTTTGAGAAGTCTGTGGAAAAGTGGAATTTAAAGATAAGTGGAGGGGCAGGTGTTTGATGTAATAGTTAAAATGTCACTTAGGATGCTTACATACCAGGTTGGTTTTAATAGAGAAATCCATGTTGTAAAGGTTGACCACACATTTGTAGTCTACATCTATTTTTTTTTTTCAATTCTTTTATTTTAATAATCTTTACATAATTGATTAGGGCACAAAGGGTCAAGGGCTACAGGAAAGTGGGTAAAACCATTGTTTCCACATTAATATTATTTTTATTTTTTTCTGTATCCGAGGTAAGGGGAGAGATAAAGGGAAAAGCCCCACCCACAGTCTACAGCTGTCCCACAGAGGTCGTTCGGGAAGTTGAGGTCTGCCCCAACTTTTCTCTGCTGACGATACTTTTTCTTTGAATCTCTGCCTTCCTAGAAAGGAATACAGCTTTTGTTTTGTTTTTGAGCCATATTGGAAAAGACTGTATTTACCGAATTCTTTGCGTTTTTCTTTTTAGGACCAACCATTTTCCATATCAAGATGACTTTACACTTCTTCCGATAAATGCAGATTGACAAGTGTCAGATTCCTTGTTCTCGAAGCCTCCTCAGCTGCCCTTCCCGGACGAGCGTCCCTGCTGGCTGTTTGCGATGCTGAGGAAGTTGATACGGAAGAGACTTTTTTTTGGTTCCGCCAAATGCTTCTTCCTGGTGCTCCTCTTCTCCCTGGTCGCCTTCTCGGTCCTAAGGGTCCATCAGAAGCCGGAATTTGTAAGCATCAGACACCTGGAATTGGTGGAAGAGAATCCTAGTCAGCATATTAACTGCACTAAAGTGTTGCAGGGTGATGTTGAAGAAATCCAGAAGGCAAAACTCGAGATGGTGACAGTGCAGTTCAGGAAACGGCCGCGGTGGAGCCCGGAGGACTATGTCAACATGACCAGTGACTGCACGTCTTTCATCAAGAGACGCAAATACATCACGCAGCCGCTTAGTAAAGAGGAGGCAGAGTTTCCCATCGCTTACTCTATCGTGGTTCATCACAAAATCGAAATGCTGGACAGGCTCCTGAGGGCCATCTATATGCCTCAGAACTTCTATTGCATTCACGTCGACAGGAAGTCGGAGGAAGCCTTCCTGGCTGCGGTCAGGAGCCTCGCGTCCTGCTTCCCTAACGTCTTCGTGGCCACTCAGCTGGAGACCGTGGTGTACGCCTCGTGGAGTCGCGTCCAGGCCGACCTCAACTGCATGAAGGACCTCTATGGCCTGAGGGCCGACTGGAAATACTTGATCAACCTTTGCGGGATGGATTTCCCTATCAAAACCAACCTGGAGATAGTCAGAAAGCTCAAGTCGTTAATGGGCGAGAACAACCTGGAAACGGAGAGGATGCCGCCCAATAAGGAAGAAAGGTGGAAAAAGCATCACGCCGTTGTGAATGGAAGGCTCATAAACACGGGCACGGTCAAGGTGCCGCCTCCCCTCCGCATCCCTCTCTTCTCGGGCAGTGCCTACTTTGTGGTCAGGAGGGAGTATGTGGGCTACGTGCTGGAGAATGAAAACATCCAGAAGTTTATGGAGTGGGCGCAGGACACCTACAGCCCGGACGAGTATCTCTGGGCCACCATCCAAAGGCTCGCAGAAGTGCCGGGCTCTGTATCATTGAGCCCCAAGTACGACCTGTCTGACATGCAGGCGATCGCAAGGTTTGTCAAGTGGCAGTACTTTGAAGGTGACGTGTCCAAGGGCGCGCCCTACCCACCCTGCCACGGTGTCCACGTGCGCTCTGTGTGCGTGTTCGGAGCTGGCGACTTGAATTGGATGCTGCGGAAACACCACTTGTTTGCCAACAAGTTTGACACAGATGTTGACCTCTTTGCCATCCAGTGCCTGGATGAGCACCTGCGGCATAAAGCCCTGGAGACCTTAAAACACTAAGCAGTGCAGGTGATTGTAGGGATTGTAACAAGAATGTATAAACTCTACACCATGCACTTCTTCTGCCTCGCAGAGCAGTATCAGAAAACCGGTGTGGGGTCCTCCTTGGGGAGGAGGCCCTAGAGTCGTGATGTCGCCGAAGCTACATGTCTTCTGCACAGGCTAACGGGTGGGAGTGTCTGAAGCATTAAATGTCTACCCAGGGAGGGACAAGGAGCCAGGAGAGAGGAAGCCAGGGTGGCCGAAATGAGCCTACTACAAACTCAGGGACTTTCACAGGAGGTGAAGGGTCGATTTATGCCAACAAGTGTCTTGAGAATTTTAGCGATCAAAATTTCTTTATGGAATAAATGTACAGCAACAGTCGTAATGATGCTGTGTATCGCCCATGTTCTATTTGTTGAAATGGAAAATTGATTTTATTCTCAACGATCCTTTATTTAAACAATGTACTGTCTGCTGTGATTCCGTGCTGTGTAGTGTGTTGTTTCTGTTTCATCTCAGGGAACTTGAAATGAACTGGATGTAACGTTAATATTCCTGTCGTATTTTTGTTTCTAACGATGCATATGTTTTCAAAAACAACAAAGAAGTGGCAATTTCTACTTGAGTCAATTTCTACATGTCGTCTTAAGCTGTTAGAAAAATTGGAGAGTTTTGTTTTGTTTTCCAAGAAACTACACTCGGCTTTTCCGAATGTTCGTTCCTGTATACCAGCCTCTTTGTATACCACCTCTCTGAGGTGACCTTCGCCTGATTGCCAGTAGCCAGCGCAGAGAACTGAGACAGCGAGTAAGTACTACAGGAGGGAAACAGATGCAGATTGATGTAGGTAATTTCTGAGGTCCCCAGTGAGTTCTAAAAAACCAGCAATTGGTATTATTCCCAGAAACGAAGACTCTAGCTGGTTGAATTTGCCGTATCCCCGTGTTTACAAGGTCACCTGCACCTGCATTGGAAGGACATGGCCCCTGTCCTTTTGTCCTCATAGCTTCTGCCCACTGATGTTTAGTTGCTTCCTCTCATGGACTCCTGGGAGGAGGGAGAAAGTTTGCTGCTGTTTTACATAAAGCTTTGGGGAGGCCTAGGACGGGAAGTTACGTTTAGGACAGATCATTTCTGTATTGGCTGTGTTGGTATTACAGCACATGGCTTTTACTTCCTCCATTTTTGTCAGAAGTCAGATGGTTTTAGTCTCATTGTGGTACTGTCTCAGGTCTCAGAGAGGATGAAGATTTGGAAAAAAACGTCCGTCTGGTTACTTTCTTGAATTGAGACTGATAAGGCAAAGGGCTTTCAAGCACAGTGAAGTCTTGTAATTTCACATTAGACTTTGAACAAGGTCAAAACTACAGGGTTTATAGCCACTACCTGCTTAAATGGAAATTCTCAGTATCAGATAGTATCAAGGCATTCAACTGGAGAAACATTTCAAAATTAGAAAACAGTTTTGTTTTATTGAGGTGTGTTCTAAGGAACCTCCTAGTCACATACACATGTGGAAATCAGTGGGGAGTGTTTCAGATTTTTTAAGATTTGTCAATTTTTTTATTGGAAAGTCGGATACACAGAGAGAAGTAGAGACAGAGAGGAAGATCTTCCATCTGCTAATTCATTCACCAAGTGGCCACAATGACTGGAGTTGAGTCGATCTGAAGCCAGGAACCAGGAGCTTCTTCCAGATCTCCCATGCTGGTGCAGGGTCCCAAAACTTTGGGCCATCCTCCACTGCTTTCCCAGGCCACAAACGGAACTAGATGGGGATTATATAGGATTCATCACTGGGATTCCAAGTATCTTACTGTTAAATCTTTTCTGTATCACTTAAAGCAGATGATGTTTATACCAGAGTGACAAGCACTTTGAAGAATCAAAGGGATGGTTTCCAAAGGTCTGTAGTGGTACATTCAGAAAGAAAAATTCTTTGGGAGAGAGGCCACTTCACATGCTGGTCTTTTTTTTTTTTTGTATTGTTATTTAATGTCTTTTGTTGGGAGTGACAAGATAAATACTTAATAATGTGAACTGAAATCTTGTGGAAATATTTTATGCATTACTATACATTTATGTATGACTATAAAGATAAAAATTAACAAAATGCCTTTTCTTAAAGTCGTATTTAACTGAAATAGAAAATTTCCATCTGCTAGGACACTCCCCAGAGGTCCATCCAGCGCTCCTTGATGGAGGCAGGAGCCCCATCACTTGGAGCAGCGTTTTTGCCCCTCCTGTTAACACACTAGCATGAGCCTGGAATTGGGCGGTGGAGCGGGAACCCAGCAGTCCCACGTGGAATGCATTCTCTCAACCATTAGGCGGAACACCTGTTCCTGTTTATTTTACAATGACGAAGGTTCTTCCCAGGCCACACTTAGCGGCCTACTCAGCCTTGAAGACGTTATGTATGTTACAGTGTCATCCATCACGTGTAAGCCACTTAAGTAACATCATATTTTTTTCCCTTCTGATTTAGATTGAAGGAGGTGTCTTAGTTCATCTGTAAGATTGATTGCACTGAGCTTTTTGTTTTTCTGATTGCTTAGAAAACAGAGTAATTTCTCATGAATATATGCGCTACTGTTTTATGATAAACATTGTTACCTTAATTTTTACTGTCAAATGTGAGTAGGGTGGAAGGCAGTGAGAGTCAGTCGTGTCACCATTAGAATCAGCCATGCTGAAACCAATGTTTGGTCTACACAAATTATTCATTTTTTTCTTGTAAACCACAAGCAGACACGCTATATTTAGCAGTTGGTGTGCAACTTTGCAAGGAGAGGGGTGCGGTTAAAAATAAGCTTAGTTCTCAAGACAGACATGTCAGAGGGGAAGAGTGCGTGGCAATAACAAAATTTAACCCTGATCATGCGGGAGAAAATTGAAATAACCGAAAAGGGTGCTTGCCATGCAGTTGAGTGGCCAGGGTTGCCCTTAAAGGCACTGGTTAACACGCTTCAGCTGTGTCTGCTTTGTTGCCCGGTTGACGGCTCATGGAGTGGCTGCTCCAAGTGTCATCACACTGGCAACCACTGTGAGCTGTTCAGCCTCGGATCTGATAAAAGAGTTTCTAGAAAGTGGCAAAATGAATGGATCTCAGTTCCTTCTCTAAAACGTCAGCACTTTGCATGACCTTTGCAGGGCTGCCTGTGCAGGGTTTCGTTTTTAACACATGCTTTTGGATTTTTAAATTTGTCCCACAGATATAGACTGAATTTTTTTTTTTTAATGAGTTGTGTCTTCTGGAAAAGAAAAAGCTTGTCAATACTGCATAGGGCATGGTCACCCAAGCAGAAAACCCAAATACTCATCCAGCTAAATGCAAGTTCCAACAGCCTCAAAGCATTGATAAGCTTATTCTAACTATTTTCTGAAATAATATTATCTAAGAATGTTTTTATTTCTTAAAATTTCTGGTAATGTAAAACAGCAGATTTCATGCATTTTAGAGATCCGATTCCAAGAAGGTAATCACACTTCCCTCTCCTGCTCGCCCCAACCTGCTCCTTCCTCCCCTCTCTTCTTCCGTTTTTGTTGAGATATAATTTTAACCTGCTTTATATTTAGAGGTTTAAGTTACAAATCATAACGTGGAAAATTAGAAACTAGGAATACCCAAGTTTCATGGGAGTATGAAAAAGGACTTTATATAACAATCCTGTCCCCAAATGAGCATTTTGTTTTTATACATGTTTTTGTATTCTATCTTAACTGCCACTTAGCAGGAAAAAAATTTTGTATTTTTGAGACTGGCTTATTTCATAAGTGTAACAGTTAACATTTGCATCCATTTTGTTTCAAAAGATAGGATTTGCTTCTTTTTTTATGTCTCAGTTGTATTCCATGGTGTGGATACCATGTTTTCTGTAGCCGGACATCATTTGATGGACATCTGGAGGATTCTGTGTCTTAGCTATTGTGCATTGAACCACACACTGGAAATAAGTTGAAAAGAAAGATTGGATGTCTCACGATTCTTTTTAAAGTTTTTTTTTTTTCCTTTTAGTTCATCCCAAGCAACAGAACCAGAGAGCTCCTGTGTCCTGATTCATGCTTGCCCCAAACCCTTTAAGAGCAGAAGCTGGGCCAGGCTGGTGCCAGGAGCCTAGGATTCCATTCAGGTCTCCTCCGTGGGTGGCAGAGACCCAAGTACTTGACTCATCATCTGCTGACTCCAGGTGCAGTGATAACAGACGGCTGAATCCGAAGCAAAACTAAGGACTGGAATCCAGGCATTCTCCCAGGGCAGCTTACTGCACGGTGCCACAAGGCCCGTTACTAGTGCCACAGTTGGAAACTAAAGCACATAAATACTTGATTGCTGGCTTGTGTTTGAACTTTCAGACCAGTGCCATAGTAATACAGAAATGATGTTAATATCAATAAACTTTTATATAGCAACTTTTGAAAGAAAAGATAAACTTCTGGAGAATGTTAAAAATAGAGTTGTAATAATGTGCATGTAAATCTGATGATGTATTAACAATGAAAATAGGGGGTCAGCATTGTGACGTCATTAGTAGAGCTGACACCAGCATTCCATAAGGGGCTACTTTTTGTCCCAGATGCTACACTTCCTGTCCGGTTCCTTGCTAAAGTCTTAAGAAATCAGCAAAGGGTAGTTGAAATGCTTGAGCCCCCGACACCCATCTGGGAGACCCAGATGAAACTCCTGGCTCCTGGCTTTAGCCTGGCCCAACTCTGGTTCTTGCAATCACCTGGAAATTGAATCATTAGATGGAAGATTTCTCCCTGTTTTTATGCAGCTCTGACTTTCAAATAAATAACATCTTTTTAAAAAAATGAAAATAAACTGGAAGAATATGCTTGAAAAACTTTTGCTGAATGTGGCAAATTTTCCAATTACAGGTGACTGCTGAGTGGCTATTTTTCAGGGTTTTGATGTGGACTTTATCCGACCCCAGTATCTCACACTCAGCTTGTAGTTCCTTACAGTCTTTAATGATTCCCAGTCAGCTCTCTGACAAACATTCAGGTAATTTAGGGGAGCAGTGATGAGGTAAAGCCAGTGTCACAAGACTACCCACAAAGACTTTGATCATCCCTGCTGTTAGCATGTCAGTGCTAGCTGGATTCCGAGTGCGACCTGTTTTCACTCCACAGTATTTTTGGGTTGAGCCCTTTTACATATCATGTTTTCAATTAAAAAAAAAAAAAAGCAAAATGCAGAAATCTGTTTCTTTTTTAGAAAAAAAAAATATATATATTGGGTAGTTAAAGGGTAGAAATAAAAAAAGAACTGATTCCTAATTATTGCTGAAGTCATCCAGAAAGAATGTGTAAAGACCAGTACTGATCTGATAAGGAGGAGAGGCCTGGCGAGAAAGCCCAAGACAGCGAGAGGAAAGAGCAGCGGGGAGTGTGGAAGCCACAGGGAAATGGTTTCAGAAAGTCCTGTCAAGCTTCAGACATGAAGGAAATGGAAGGCAATTGGAAAGGCTAGTCTAAGAATGTTGCAACACAAGATCACCGTTTACTCAAAGTAAACATGCAAGCACACAGGTACACACACACACACACATAGTGGAGTTGGTTTTTGTGTTAAGTGACTGTGCAAAGGAATATAACAGGAGGAAGGATCAGCTGGAAAAACCAGCAAGCACTCAGGTGGGGACCAAGAAGCCAGTGGCCCTAGAGCCCCTTGGAGAAAAATATAAGAAAAAAGGACGAGTGTTCTGCTTTACCTGTCTTCTCCCAGACAAACAAAAGCATGAGTAACTAGAGCCTCCAACATAATGTGTTTCAAAATACATTTTTTTAAAATTTATTTTTAATTTCTGGAAAGTCAGAAAAATGCACACAGAGATTCAGAGTGATAGAGAGAGACCACCTGTCAAAGAGCCAGCTTTTAAGCCATTAAGTATTGTTGGTGACTGTTGAAGTTCAGGTTACTGCAAATGTGAATTTCTTCCTGTGCTGTCTGTTCTGTTCCTTTGATCTACGCATCTGCTTTTATGTCAGCATCATACTATTTTTGATTACTATAGATTACTATTGTCCTTTGAAATGAACGACTGTGACGTCTCCGGCTCTATTTTTCTTTCTCAAGAATTCTTTGACTTTGGGGAACTTTTTGTAGTTCTGATACAGCTAAAGAATGTACTGATTTTAGATGAAAATTCTTCATGCTGACTTGTAGAAAGCACACAAAATGGTAATATTTATTCAAAAGATGAGGTGAGCATGCGAACACTTAGGGGTTTCCCCATACTGGACCTCAATATGTGTCAGAAATCGGTGCTGATCGGTCACTGCATCTTTTCTTTTCCTTAAAATACTCAACACAATCTACATCAGTGCTTTGCGACTAGAATTTGGTTTTTAGTTTTTGTCCATTAGGACAAACCATTCATAAATTGGTTTCTGTAGGCCTAGTTACATACAGGTGATACACTCAAACATGAAATGTTCAGC